TTGGGCAACACCTGCCCTTTCTCATTGTCCTCCTGGGCTTGTATCCAGAGTTCCTCATTTAGGCTGTCCTTTGCACCAACATCCTTTGACCGTAGGTAGAATGAGCCATCCATGGATTTATTGGTCACCTTAATAGGTGTTCATAGTTCTTCTGGACCATCTCAGGTTTCAGCTTGGAGATGTTGAGGATCTGTTGGGCCTCCTGGAGGCTGAGGCCAGAGAGGTTGGATGCAGCCCCAGACTAGAGCCAGCAGGACTCCTAGCATCAGCAGCTGCCTGGCTGCCATGGCGACACCTCTCCCTCAGAGGCACTGGCCTTTGAGCCCTGCTCAAGGGTGGCTTGTGGGTCAGAGGTCAAGGGAGACTGCCTATCTCACATTTTGTGCATGAAGTGAGACTATATTGATTTGGGGAATAAAGTCTGACTTTCTTGTATTTCAAATTCGTAGAAAATGTGACCTTACTGCGCCCTCCCAGGAAAGCAGAACTGTGCCCTGAACTCCTTCCCCAGTTCCAAACCTAGACTAGAACCTGGTGACTCCGGTTCCTTTCTTTAGGGTGACTCTGTCCTAGTTCAATTTCAGGACTCTTTGCTCTTGTCATGATTCTGTTTCCTGAATTTTCTCCTGACATCCTCTCTTCCTTCTTGTGTTTTGACCTCAGAGAACCTTTAGAAGCTTGCTCAGTCCACAGTTGAGAAATCCCTGCACGTGCATATTGACGGTAATGGGTGAAGCTGGTATTGACAGGAGCAACCCACCAGGGGGAGCCTGTGCCTAAGATGTGGCTGAAGGCCTGCGTGGTAGTTCTTGTCTGGAGAGACTGAAGCCCTGCTCCTCCTGGTGATGCTGACACAGGATTGCCCCAAGTTTGAGGCCAACTTGGGCTACATAGTGAGTTCCTGGATAGCCTGGGCTACAGAGTGAGACTTTGTCTTAAAAAAAAAAGTCGGAGGCTGGAGAGATGGCTCAGCGGTTAAGAGTGCTTGCTGCTCTTCCAGAGTACCTGAGTTTGGGTCCCAGCACCCATGTCAGGTGGCTCATAACCAACAGCCTGTAACTCCAGCTCCAGAGAATCTGATGCCCTCTTTAGCCCTCAAGGGTACCTGAACATAAGTGGCATAAATAAATAAAATTAAAAATAAATCTTTAAAGATGTTCATTTAAAAAGAAAAGAAAAAACAAAAATTGGATCTTGGAGATGGCTCATCCAGTAAGGGTACCCACCATTAAATCTGACCATCTGAGTAGTATTCCCAGAATCCACAAGTGAAAAAAGAGAGTCATCTCCTGCAAATTGTCAAAATTGCCCTCCACTCCTGTGCCTGGGTGCCCTCCAAATAAATGCAAACAACAATAAAAATGCCAAACCCAAAACTAAAACAAAACAAAAAACCCCAAACAAAATAAAACAAAAATCAGACATAATGGCATGAGTCTATTATCTTAGCACTTGTCACATAGAGGCAGAAGGATCACTATTTCAAGGCTAATCTCAGACACAAACAATTTGAGGCCAGCCTTGGCCACTTGAGATAGTCTCAAGAAATAGGATGTGGGGGCTGGCGAGATGGCTCAGTGGTTAAGAACACTAGTTGTTCTTGCAGGAGACCTGGGTTAGAATCCCAGCATCTACATGCAGCTAACAACTGTCCGTAACTCCAGTTCCAGGGGATCGAACAGCTTCTTCTGTCCTCCGAGGGCATTGCATGACATGGGTGCACTTACCTATATGCAGGCAATACACTCATACACATAAAATAAAAATAATACACTCACCGGGCGTGGTGGCTCACGCCTGTAGTCCCAGCACTTCGGAGGCAGAGGCAGGTGGATCCCTGTGAGTTCAAGGCCAGCCTGGTCTACATAGTGAGTTCCAGGACAGCTGGGGCTACAGGGAGACCCTGCTTCAAAAGGACGAAAAAAAAAAAATACACTCAATCTCACAGAAACCCACCAGTCTCTGCCTCTCTCCTGAATGCTGGGATTAAAAGTGTGCACCACCACACTTGGTTTAGAACACTTCTTTTATAAAAGATTTAAAAAACTTATGTGTATATGTGCATGTGAGTTCGTACATGTAAGTGCACGTGCCCACGGAGTCTAGAAGAGGGCATCTGATCCCCTGGAGCTGGAGTTATAGGCAGTAAGCTGCCTGATGTGGTTACTGGAAACTGAACTCAGGTCCTTTGCAAGAGCAGTCAGCACTCTTAACCTCTGAGCTATCCCTTGAGCCCTGCAGAATACTTTTTTAATTTTTTACTTTTTAAATTTTTTCACCTTTTTGAGACAGGGGATCCATGCAGCCCCAGCTGGCTTGGAACTATGTAGACCAGGATGGCCTCGAACTCACAGAGATCCACCTGCCTCTGCTTCCTGAGTGCTGGGATTAAAGGCATGTGCCACCATACCCTGCTTGCAGAATACTTCTTAAATGATATGATCATGGCCAGATTCAATGTGGGGATCGGTCTTTCAGTACTTTGATTTCAATGCACGACTCTCACTAGACCCTGATGCCCATCTCTGGTGGATTCTCATTGATTCAGGCTTTCCCATCCTTCCTCTTCTAACTTGGGAATTTAAGGCCCTGAGTAGTATTAGTATGCACTATTACTTCCTTTTATCCCCCATTTCCTAAGATGGCTCTGGCTTAGCTGCCTCCCTGACCCTACCACTGCCCAGATCACCTGGCTCTTCCTTTAGGTCCACCTGTACTTTTTCCATTAATTTCATGTTTAGGTCAACCAAATAATCTGGCCTATGGGAAAATGGGAAGAAAGTCAGAAAATCTTTAATACTTTCTCACCCAGGCAATAAGGACCAGTCAGATTCAGCATCCACACTAATAATTGAATCTGTTATAAGCTTGGTATTATGATACATGATGAGGTTACAAAATTACAGATAACGTGGTGTCTGCCCTCAAGAAACTTGAATGCTAATTAGGGACACAAACAAATAACTAGGTAAGTACAACATCAAAGAATGGCTGGAAAGAAGACCGGAAAGGGGTAGGGCTAGACTTGAAGTAAGATGTCTGTCAGGAGCTTGTCCTTTACTCTGAATATTGAAGGAGGGGGGAACTTGAGTAGATTTGTTTGTTGTAACATTCTGGGTAATCAAGATTAGATTTAAAGAGGCAGAGATAGCAACTGAAAGCCACTCAATGACAGGTGGCCAGAACCAAGTCAAAGAATGGGCCACATGTAGAAGGGGGCTCTGACCTCTGACCCTTGCAGGTTGGTAGAGGAGGTAGGAGGATCTGAGGTCCCTGGATAGGTAACTTGGAGGATCCTAGGCTAGCTAGGGAGCAGGAGTATTCCCACAGGTTTGTCCCACTCTGGGACTCCCTGAGGTTCACATGGCAGTATCCCCACATGGATCTACAAGATCCGTCTCAGGTACTCAAGAACAAGAACTTCAGCTCCTAGTTCTCCCATTTCTCAGGTCCCAAGATATTTTTTTCAGTGTGTGGGATCAAATCCAGGGTCTCTTACATGCTAAGCAGGCACTTTTCCACTGAGCTACATCCCCAGTCCAAAGTTCCAACATCTTGTTCATGGATTCCCTATTAAGCAAAGACTTCAGATTTGGTAACTCTACCCATCTATTCAGAGGCCTGTGACTGGAAGAACACACTGGGTCATTGGTCTGAGGATCCTCTCACACATTTCACCAAAACACAGTCAGATATACACATCCCTGGAATGTTCTTCAAAGTCTTGTGATGCTATTTGGGATCACTTGCACCTTCCACATTGGAGGTGGAGGATGAATAAGTGCCAAGCCTGAAAAGCAGGTAAAAGTTAATATCTAAGCCTATCTACTGCCCTCACAGGAAGCCATGTAGATAGAAGCCTTACTAAGGGGTGGCCTTGAGAAACTTCTTTAAGCCATATAGCTCTAAGGAAAAATGTGGCCTTCCTTCCCTATGCCACATAGGGAAGGACCTATGAGTATAACTCCTTCTTTTCCAGGCACAGAAGGAGGCCTAAGCCAAATCTCAGACTATGAAGAAGCAACTATAATCAGTAGGATCATGAATATGAAGCAGTTTCTTGCTTATGGTCACCACTGAGGAGACATACAATGGGCCCAGCTACAAGACCAAGTAGAGCCCATGCCAGACAAGCAAAGGTCTGAGGAACTGTTGCTAGTCCATTATGAACCTACATCTACTTTAAGCTTAAAGTGATGCTGAGTAGAATCAAAGCTGCAGGACCCATCTGAGGACAAAGCTGAGTGACAGGTCTTACTACCTTGGACAAAGTATCTGGGATGGTGGGTAGCGGCAGCAGATAGGCCACTGGGGTAGAAGTGGGCATAAGACATGACCTCTTTAGAGGGGTGCTGTTGACTAATCCCCAAAAAGCAAAACTCTGCTGCAGATGCTCTTATTTCTTGGCTTAGGCAGTCAGGAGGAGTCTGGGGGCCCTCCCAGCGACTCCTTACTAGGTTAGAGGGCTCTGCAGGCATCTCTCCTGTCTGTGGCAAATGAGGAGGGGGGCTACTCAAGGGGTTACTCATGGAAACCTGGAAGAAGTGAGCATGGGTTCAGGGCCCATCACATTTCCTACTTAGAGGTAGAAGAAACCTGGGGAAAGAAGGGGTAGAATAGAGAAGCTGTGGAACAAAGTCAGTATCAAGTCAGGGATGAGGAGCAACTCCAAGCCCAAGTAGGGAGGCGCTCTGCTAGGCTGTACAGCAAGATTGGAGCTTCTAACTTACACAGTCAAGCCATTTAATCCTTCTATACCTCTATTTTCTTCCATCTGAAAAATGGGGATAACATTAATACTTTCCTAGTGGGGTTATGAAAAGCATTAGATGAAGGATTATATAACAACCAACAGGGTACCTAGCACATATGAAATTCTCATGGATGTTAATTATTTTCATGACTGGAAGTGGCTGCTTTACCCAAGAGATCTAGATTCATTAACTTCCTCTATAAGTCACAACCCTTAGCTGTTCAAAAACAACACAAAAAACTGAGTATATAATTAATAGTTATATACATTTTAAAAATTGTTCCAGAATAGACAGTATTGCACACACAGGTTCCACCTCAGTGCCCTCCAGCTCTTAAGATACCCTTCCATGGGTAGCTACATCCTGCAAATGATTTTCCATGTCCGCTGCACAGAGGCCCAGTTCCAATGGTACCTAAGCTTCCAGTCCTGGGTAGTCCGAAACTTGGAGGGTGGTAATTGGTCCACGAGGTGGGGTAGGGGGTGGTGTGCCTGGATCCCATAGGATGTCCTCATATGGACTTTGAAGAGGGCCAGAGGGCCGTCCTTGAGCCCCAGTCTGTTCTAGCAGGGCTCTGACCAAACCCACTGTGAGAGGGGGCTCTGCCCCAGGCTCAGGGAATGGGGCGGGGGCTCCCACCTCATCAGGGAGATGTGTCCTCAATAGAAGCAGGAGTTCATCTGGAGCCAGTTCTGGTGGGCACAAGCGGCAAAGAAGGGGGAGGTGAGAATCAAGGTGGCGATGCTGCACAAACTCTGCCAGAAGCAGTTTGAAGATTTCACTTCTTAGTAGAGGGCTGGAGGGACCGAGGGCCAGGCCAGCTTCCAGAGCCCGCTCCCACTGCTCCTTTTCTACCAGCTGCCTCACAGCTTGCAGCACAGCTTTGGGCCGCCCACTACCCAGAAGCAGCTCTAGTTCCAGGGTCTCAGGCCTGGTCTCCTCCTCACCTAGCACTGCCAAGGCTCGGCGATAGAGGGGTAGACCAGGGCTTCCAGTCCCCCAGCCTGGCCCACCCTGCTGCTGTGCCAGTTCTACAAAAGGAGGCAGCCATCGCGGCTCCAGTCGGCATAGGCACTGGCACAGGAGTTCAAAAGGGGGCAGTATCCCACTGGGGGGCCCCTTTCCAGATGTTGTATCCCTTAGTACCTTTTTCCACACATCAGGGGGTGCTTGGGACCTTAGTTTGCCAGACCTATCTGGCTGGAGCTGTAGGACCTGGAGGGTGGCACTCCAAGCTGCTGTAGGAAAGGCTTGGAAAATGGTGTTGAACTGGGCCAGCTGATCTCCTGTCAACTCTGTCCTCAGCAGGCGGGCCACTTCATGCTCTGCCAACTCAGTCCAGCCAGCCTCCTCATCATCCCCAGCCACCAGCTGGGCTTTGAGTTGCTCTAAGCTCCGGTAGTCCCGAAGCTCAGCCCTCAACGTAGTCAACAGTGTAGATGGGGGCAGGTGGCCCTGGAGGATGGAGGCCAAGGCCTGAGGTGCCCGGAACATACTGTTGTGTCTCAGCTCTTTTGGGGTGAGCTGAGTGCCCCGTAGGCTGCGTCGCTGATAATACACACAGGCCTCCTCAAACACCAGATCCTTGCCTAAGGGCAGTTCAAGGCCTTGGGGAGCTTCCCAACCCACAGAAAAAAGACCCAAGGCTGAAAGCAAACGTAGACCTCCTTGGATTTCCAATTCTTCCTCAACCTTCATGCCAGGGGCTGGAGGTTCCAGCAAATGTATTCTGTCTGTACTTAGGACTTTCCTCTCCAGCAGCTGTCCACTACCCATGTCCAGTAGTTCCAAGGTGGAGCCCAGGACACAGGCCAGAGTGCCATGAAATGTTCCCAGGGCTGCAGACCCTTCTAGGCCTATAGGTGCCTCCTGCAGCGTTCCCACAGTTCGAACACCACCATGGCACTGCACGAGACTCACCTGGCCTCTGAAGTCAAGTAACAATAGGCCCTGGGGAGTTGGGGCCCAGGTGTGTACAGCCAATGGCTCCCTGGGGGACAGAAACCCAGGAAGGCCTCGGACCAGGGTGGGAAAGTCCCAGGTATCCCCTTGCCTGGGATTCAGGTTTTTACTGTAAGAGAGGCCAAGAGATGGGGCAGCAACTATCACCTTGCCTTTGCTTGGGCTCCAGATCAGCAGAATGTGGGCCACACCAGGCCAGGTGGTGGTAGTGGGCACCAGGAAGAGGTCCTTGCGGGAGGCCATTAGCCCAAAAGAGGGACAGTGGTGCAGCAGGATGTGTGTGCGGCCTAGGTTGGTACCAGCCTCCCCGCTAGGCTCCAGGGTTTTGACGCACACGCAGTGGCTGAAAGTTACCGAAAGCTGCTCTGACTGGTCCTCAGTGTCCAGTTGACGTTCCTCGCACCAAACTAGGCGGCCTCGGGGCGCTGCCACGGCCGTTAAGCGGGCTCCACCATCCGGACATAGCTCAGTGCTCTGAAGCAGCCGCCATCCAGGCTCCATCCCTGAGCCCCACACTTCTGCCAGGCCACTCTCCCACACCAAGATCAGTGCGGGGCGAGTCAGCCACGGCAGAAAGAAAGCATCCAGCGGCGATGGCTGGCCCTCCGGCCAGGCACGCTCCAGCTCCAGGCCTGAACCACGCACAGCCACTAGAAGCTGCGGAGCGGGCGACCCTGGGGGTCTTAGCAGCAGCAGGTGGCGGCCGTCAGGGCAGCAGCGAACTAGGACTGCTGGGTCCCCGGTCAACAACTCGCGGAGCCGGGCGGCGCTGGTGAAGTTGCCCAGATCGGAAAGCAGGCGCAGGGTACCTGCACGCTTCATGGTGCCTCCGGCGCTGCAGCTAGCCTGAGCCTGAGAGCCCGGTGGGGCGCGGCCCGGCTGCAGGTCTGTAGTCCCTGGGGGACTAGGGCCCGGCTGACACTTCCGTCCCCGGTGGATGAGGTGAGCCAAGGCCGGGCCAGAGTGTCTACTCCGCCCCGCCCCATCTGGTTAGGTCCGGGATTGCCCTGGTGCACGCCCCATCGGCAGGACACGCCCGCCGGAGGAGGTGCTGCGAGTGGGAAGGGATGATCTCCAGGGGAGGAGCCTCCACAGCACCCAAGGGTTTCAGTGCCCTAGGGATTGAGAGCATCCATTTCTCAAAGCTGTCCTTCTTTCCAAACCTCTTTCTTTCATCCCCAACTTACTCATTCGTTCATCAATGTTTTCTTGAGTACCAATTTTGTGCCGGTCTTGAACAAAATAGAAAACCTCAACCTCCTGGAGATCTAGTGAAAAACAATCCAGTGCATGCACTGTGGGAGAGCTCTGGCTCCTCTTTACAGGTAAGAAAAGATAAGTAGCACAGATAAGTAACTTGACCAAGTTAATGGCAGCTACGAAGTGGGATTTCTGGTTAGTCAGTACAGCAAAGAAACCACTTTATTATACCAACAATTCATCACCCCAAACCAACAGTTTGCTAGACAAAAACCCCAACAACTTTAAAGGCAGATCCTATTTTTCATCTCCCTAACACCTACACTTTGATTGATGTCTTGAGTCAGGGCCTGGCTCTGTAGCCCAAGGTGTCCTCCTGCCTCAGCCTCCTGCCTCCCAACGCCAGGATTGCAGGCACCAGCTACCATGCCTGGATTCACACCTATAGTTTTGTTGCTGTTGTTAGCATACAAAGCATTGAGTTTCATTATAGCACTTCCTTTTGTTTCTCTTGCTCTGTGTGTGTATGTGTGTTCCTGTGTGTGCAGGTGCATGTGTGTGCCATGTGGAAGCCAGAGATTCACCTTAGGTGTCTTTCCTCTGAAGTCACTCCCTAGGACTCTCACTTATTAGGCTAGGAAGCCCCAGGCATCCTGATCCATCTGCTTGCCCCACTAGCACACTGGGATTACAAACTCAAGTTACCATCCCAAGGTTGTTTTTTTTTCATCTTTTTGAGACAGGATTTCCCTGTAGCTCCAGCTGGCCTGGAACTCACTCTGAAGACCAGGCTGGCCTTGAACTCACAGAGATCAGCCTGCCTCTGTCTCCTGAGTGCTGGGATCGAAGGTGGGCACCATGACTTCCTGCTAGGACTTTTTTCATCTTTATATCCTATCTTCATTTTTAGAGTAGAGCCTAGCTCCCCAAAAAATACTTAATTGAAGATTGGATAAGTAAATTTGTATGGACTCATGTATATGTGTGTGGTATCATTTGGGAAGCTTTTACTTAAAAGTTACAGAAATAGAAGCTGGCCGTGGTGGTGTACACATTTAATCCCAGCACTTGGGAGGCAGAGGCAGGCGGATCTCTGTGAGTTTGAGGCCAGCCTGGTCTACATAGTGAGTTCCAGGCTAGCTGGGGGTATAGGGAGACCCTGTCTCAAAAACACCAAAAACAAACAAACAAATAAATAAATAAAAATAAAAAAGCAAAAAAGAAACAAGCAAAAAATCTAGAGAAAGAGACAAATGTGATGGAAACCACAGAAGGGACTTTCAGTAAGGAGGCTGTCAAATGCCTCAGAAGAAAAAAAGGAAACAAAAATGTCTTTTTGAGGCTGGAGAGAAGGCTCAGCAGTTAGGAGCACATATTGTTCTTCCAAAGAACTCAAGTTTGGTTGCCAGCACCCACACTGGGCAGCTCACTACTGCCTTTAACTCCAGCTCCAGGGGATAGGACACCCTCTTCTGGACTCTCTGGGGACCAGCATTCACATATGCACATACAGACCACAGCTATCTTAAGTAAAACCACAATTAATTAGAACTTAAAGAGCTTGCAAAATCTTAAGGAGAAAGGAGAAACAGGCTTGGACAACAAGCAAGAATCAAACACTCATTGATGTGTAAGAAATGGAAGCACAACTGCTTTTCTGCAGGAACCACCTATCCACGATACTGTGGTCTTTGGGGCTACATGACTTGGTTGCTGCACTGGAGGGCAGATCTGCTATGAATAAATTCTCATCATTCTTTCACCTTTGCACGTCTTTGAAATACTTAAAAAAATTATGTATATATGGGTGTCTCTGTATAAGTATGCTTATATCTGTATGGATACAAGCATGTGAGTGAAGGAATCCACAAAGGCCAGAAGAGGGTGTTCGATCTTCTGGACCTGATATGGGTGCTAGAAACTGAACCTGGGTACTCTGCAAGAGCAGTATGAGTTTTCAAGTGCCAAGCCATCTCTCCAGCCCTCACCTTTACACTTTTTGATCTTGCCCACTTATCACTACTGTTGAGCTAGGTGTGGTGGGTGGCAAATGCCTGTAATCCCAGCACTTAGGAGATGGAGGCAGGAGGATTTTTCTGGAATTAGAGGCAGGCCTGAATGCCCCCCCCTCCCCTGCAAAGTACACTGAGAGTACTAGGCCAGCCAAAGGTAGAGAGTAAAATCCTGTTTCAGAAAATAAGCAAAAACAGGACTCAGCAGTCAAGAGCACTGGCTGTTTTTGCAGAGGACCCGGGTTTGGTTCCCAGCACCCACATGATGGCTAACAACCATCTGTAATTCCAGTTCTGGGGATCTGATGCCTTCCTCTGGTCTCTATGGGCAATGCACACATGTGGTGCACTTAGATACATGTAGGAAAAACACTCATACAAAATTAAAATAAAAAAATAAGCAAAACCCAAAACAAAACCATTCCTGTGTAAAGAGATTAGAAAAATAAAAATTTACCAATCTGGATTAAGAGCTCCTTCCTGGTTTCATTCTCAGTAACACACACACACAGACAAACATACACACACCTTAAAAAAAAAAAACCTGATCTGGGTTCAAATTCTTTTCCTTTCTTACTAACTGCAGAACATTAGACAAAATAATCATTCAGAAAATTTGTTTTTCTCCTAACATTACTTATTTCATAGTTATAATATTGAAACATACAAACAATAGGTGTCTGGTACTTTTGTAGAGGAAGTGTGAGAATGAATCCCAGGCCTCCCACACATTAAGCAAGCACTCTCATATATCCCTAGCCAACATTTTAAAATTTCATTTGCATAAGAGAAAATTGAGCATGGTGCACGCCTTTAATTCCAGCACTTCACAGGCAGAGATAGGTGAATCTCTATGGGATTGAGGCCAGCCTGGTCTACATAGCAAGTTCCAGGCCATTTGGGGCTACAAGGAGACCCTGTCTCAAAAAGACCAACCAATCCAACCAACCAACCAACCAATCAACCAACCAACCAACCAACCAACCAACTAACCAACCAAACAACCAAACAAACAAAAAGAACGCCAAACAGCGATGACAAAAAGAAAAATGTGAGATTCAGTGTTCTGGTCAAGTTAACACAACCTCACAACTTGAGTTTTTTTTTTCTTTTTGAGGAAGGGTCTCCCTGTTGTAGCTCCAGCTCACCTGGAACTCACTATGTAGACCAGGCTGGCCTTGAACTCACAGCCTCTGCCTCCCGAATGCTGGGACTAAAGGTGTGTGCCACCAGGCCTGGCAACTGGATGTATTTTTAACGTACTAGGCACACTCATTTGTTGTTTACTTTGTTTCCAACAGTTCACTTAAAAAGTTGCAAGAAACGTTTTGGAACGCCAATATTTCCAGGTTTTTCCAGTGTTTCTAGAGGATACACTTATTTCTAGAAGAAACTGCTGAGTTCAGACTTTCCTATATTATAATCTAAAACACTTGCCATAGCGACTAGTAGCCAGAGGCCCTTCGTTAAGGGCTTGCTCGTGATGTCTTTCGGGAGTTGTAGTCTTTGCGCTGCTTGCTGGGAATCGTGGTCCGAGCCAGCTTCAGGAAGCGGGCCTGGACGAAACTGGCACAGGAGGGTTTTAGGACCCAGCGGGGCACGGCGAACCAGGGGAAGGGTCGGGGAGGTCGGGAGCGCGCCCGTGATTCCGGAGCAGCGGCGGAGTCGGGAGCGAGCAGGTGTGCGAGCAGCTCGGGTGGTGGAGGGGGAGCTGGGGGCTTGGTAAGTGGCGCCTGCCGGGCCGGGTGGGCGAACCTGACCAACCCCCGCGGGTCCTCCCTAGTAGGCCTTGGCCCCGAGGAGGCGGGGCCTGCGCCGGCCGCCAGGACCACGGAGCTGAGAGGGAAGAGGGAGGGTTGAGGCTGCAGCAGCTGCGTGCGGTGTGAGGGCCGGGCCTGGGGCGGCGGAGTGGAGCGGATCCACTCCCCAGGTGGCTGGTCCTTCGAAATCCTGCTTGTTCCCGCCCCTCCCCGATGGGGTTGGGGCGTGCGTGCCTGCGGGCATGGCGCTGACCTTTGACCCCAGCTCGGGGCTGCCTCTTGACCCCTGCTCGGAGCTGACCCTGACCTGTCAGCTCCGTTGAGAGGGCTGCTTGTTCCTGGCACGGCAGTGAGGGTCAAGACCTTCGAAAAAGGATAGAGAAAGGCGGGTTCGTACGAATTTTTCCGAATTCTTCAGGTGCCCGGAAGGGCCAGATCTTGCGCTTCTCAATCCGCGACTCGCAGGCTTCAATTCTGCACCCTCTTGACGCGGAATTAGTGAACCTACCGTACTTTCGCGGCGAAACCTGTTTTCAGGAGGGTTTGGGAAAGAAAGAAAGGCGTTATCAGGGAAGTGGCGGTCGGAAGCCGAGTCCTCTCCCTGGCCAATGGGACACTGGAAACTTGGGCCACGTCCTAATAAATGTTTAATCGAATCTTCCCAGCCCTTTCTTTCTAGAAATTAAAAAAGGAAACTTAGAGCAGTTTCTTTGTAAAGCAGGGTAAACATGGTTTTAAAAAATGATTTGTGTCAGGGACACCCTATGATCTAGTAGATAGCCCTGTAGCTCTGGCTGGTCTGGAACTAGCTTTGTAGGCCAGGCTTACCTCGAATTTGTGGAGATTCTCCTGACTCTGCCTCCGGAATGTTAGGATTTCAGTGTACCCCACTATGTTTCCTTCCCTTGATTTAGGACAAAGATACTCAGAATTATTTTTGGTTGGATTTGTATGAATAATTTCCATGTGAAGGCTTTCAGGATTTCAGATCTGTTAAGGAAAGGGGTTTGATTCCTCTTGTTAGGATTGTAAAGGGAGTTATAGAATATAGGGTTTTACACAAAACATAATTTAGGAACCCATAAAATTTGGAAAATATGACCAAATAACAAATTTATCCAGGATGTATGAGGGTGAGCTATTGATTCAGCACACATTTACTGAGCATTGACTGTGACTGACACTGAGTTTAGAAATTGTGTGTGTGTGTGTGTGTGTGTGTGTGTGTGTGTGTGTGTGTTTAGGATGGCCTTGAACTCACGGGGATCTTACTTGCGTCTGACTCTCCAGTGCTGGGATTAAAGGCATGAGCCACCACACCCAGCAAAATGGTGTTTTTTTCAAGAACATTAGAGACATGTTTGGAGAAAAATTTCTAGGGTCGTGTGTTAACATATCCATGTAAAGACATTTTTACAGCATTAAGGGAAGACTGCTATTGCCTAGGAGAGTCAGTCTTTGTAGGGAACTTGTACTTGAACTGGGAGTTGAGAGATCAGAATGAGCTTGCATAAGAAGGCATTTGAGTTGGAGACAGATAGCCTTTGCAAAAGTATGTTGTGAAGGTGAAGGGGAAAAAAATAGCATGGTGTCAGAACTATGTCCAAAACAGATGTGTGCTGGGGAAGTTGGCTGGAGGTGAGACTGAGAAGGGGGAGGGAACCACTGAAAACAGTTTGAATTAGGGAGTGATAGAAATGCAGATTAAAGCCCAGCGTGGTGGCGCAGGCCTTTAATCCCAGCACTTTGGGAGGCACACGCAGGCGGATCTCTATGAGTTCAAGTCCAGCCTGGTCTACATAGCGAGTTCCAGGACAGCTAAGGCTATAGGGAGACCCTATCTCAAAAAAGACCGAAAAAAAAAAAGAAAAAAAGAAGTGCAGGTTAAAAACAGTAGAAAACGATGGGGCTGGAGAGATGACTCTTTGGTTACAAGCACATATGACTTGCTCTTCCAGAGGACTGGAGTTCAGTTCTTAGAACTCATGAGGCAGCTCACAACTACTTGTAATTCCTCCTCCAGGAGATTGATGCCTCTGACTTCCAAGGGCACCTGCACATAATTAAAAATAATAAAAATAAATCTTAAAAAGCCAGGCATGGTGGTGGATCTCTGTGAGTTCAAGGCCACCTGGTCTTCATAGAGTTCCAGGCTAGCTAGTGATACATAGTGAGACCCTGTCATTGAAAAAAAAAAAGCCTGGGTGTGGTGGCATATGGCAGATGACTCTAATGCCAGCACCTCTAAGTCCCAGCATGGGAGGCAGAGACAGGGAGATCTCTGTGACCAGGCAGCTTGGTCTTCATAGTGAGTTCCAGGCCAACTGGGACTACAGGTAGACCCTGTCTCAAAAAAACAAAAGCAAAAACAAAACCCCAAAGACAAAACAATAACAACCCCTGCCCCCCAACAACAACAAAGCAGCCAGTGTTCTTATCTGCTGAGCCATCTCCAGTCCCCAGAGCAGACCTTTTTTTTTTTTTTTTTTGGTCTTTTTGAGACAGGGTCTCCCTGTAGCCCCAGCTGTCTTGGAACTCACTATATAGACCAGGCTGGCCTTGAACTCACAGAGATCTGCCTGCCTCTGCCTCCCGAGTGCTGGGATCAAAGGCTTTCGCCACCACGCCTGGCCATACATTTTTTTTTTTTTTTTAAAGTAGGTCTCTTGGGGCTAGAGAGATGGCTCAGCAGTTAAGAACACTGGTTGTTCTTGCAGAAGACCTGGGTTTGAATCCCAGCACCCACATGACAGCTAACTGTCCATAACTCCAGTCCCAGGGGATCCATCAGCCTCCTGACCTCTATGGGCATTGCACAACACAGGTGCACTTACCTACATGCAGGCAGTACATGCATACACATAAAAATTTTTTAAAAATTAAAAAAATTTAAAAGTAGGGCTCTCATCTTTGATTCCCAACCTTTAATCCCAGCACTTGGGAGGCAAAGGCAAGTGGATCTGTGAGTTTCAGGTCAGCCAGGGCTACATAGTGAGATCCTAGCCAAACAAAAAAACCTTATACTAGGGGCTGGAGAGATGGCTCAGTGGTTAAGAGCACTGTCTGTTCTTGCAGCAGACCCAGGTTTGAGTCCCAGCACCCACATGGCAGCTAACAACCAGCTGTTACTCCAGTTCCAGGGGAATCTGACACCATCTTCTGATCTCCTGTGTACAACACAGGTGCACTTAACATACATGCAGGCAATACACTCATACACATAAAATTAATATTTTTAAAAATAACTGTGCTGGGCATGGTGATGCATGCCTTTAATCCCAGCATTGGGGAAGCAGAGACAGACAGATCTTTGTGAGTTCAAGGCCAGCCTGGTCTCCATAAGTGAATCCAGGCTAGTTGTGGCTACAGGGAGACCTTATTTCAAAAAGACCAAAAAAAATAAAATAACTTATGCATAGTTTCCTAGTTAGCTTCAGCTGTCTAGTTGACACAGTCCAAAGTTATCAGAGTCTCAATCAAGGACTGCCTGATCAGACTGTCCTGTGGGTACGTCTATATCTGTTGAGCATTTTCTTGATTGCTAATTGATATAGGAGAGCCCGGAACACTTTGGGCCGTACCATCTCAAGGCAGGGGGTCCAGGGCTGTATAAAACTGGAGGAAGGCTAGAGAGCAAACCAGTAACTAGAATTTCTCCATAGAAATGCTCCTTTCCTGCCCTGGCTTCTCTCAGTGGTAGATTATGACCTGCAAGTATAAACCAAATAAACATTTTCTCCCCAGGTTGCTTTTGGTCATGGTGTTTATTGTATGAACAGAGAGCAAACAAAGACACATAGTATGAAACAAAAAGGGACCAAAACATGACTAAATTATGATCTCTACCTTGAGAGGCTTTACATGGAAAAGATACACATCCTGATACTTTAAAGACTTGCAGCTGCCTACCCCTGTATTTCCCACAAACAACTTGATCTCAACATACCAGACTGTCCCAACTAACTTTCCATAGCCACCCATCTTTAAAAGTCTGCTCTGAGCTAGGTGTGGTGGCGCACGCCTTTGATCCCAGCACTTGGGAGGCAGAGGCAGGCGGATCTCTGTGAGTTCAAGGCCAGCCTGGTCTACATAGTGAGTTCCAGGACAGCTGGGGCTACAGGGAGACCCTGTCTCAAAAAGACCAAAAAAAAAAACAAAAAAAAACCAAAAAACAAAAAACATTGGGGCTGGAGAAATGGCTTAGTGGTTAAGAGCACTGGCTGCTCTTGCAGAGAACCTGTATTTGATTCCCAAAACTAGGTGCTAGAGAGATGGCTCAGCGGTTAAGAGCACTGACTGCTCTTGCAGAGGACTCAGGTTCAATTCCCAGCACCAACATGGCAGCTACGAATCGTCCTTAACTCCAGTTCCAGGGGAATCTGAAGCCCTCTTCTGATCTCCGAGGCACTGCATGACACGGGTGCACTCACACACATACAGGCAATACACTCATACACGTAAAATAAAAATAAGTAAATATTTTAATTAAAAAATAATTTAATTAATTAATTAAAATATTTTCTGCAAAGTCCAAGGAGGTCAGAAGAGGGCATCCCTCTAGCCCCTAATTAGAATATTTTTAAAAATTAAAAAATTGCCGGGCATGGTTGCTCATGCCTTTAATCCCAGCACTTGGGAGGCAGAGGTAGGTGGATCTTTGTGAGTTTGAGGCCAGCCTGGTCTACATAGTGAGTTCCAGGACAGCTGGGGCTACAGGGAGACCCTGTCTCAAAAAGACAGAAAAAAAATTAGGCCAGGCGTGGTGGCGCATGCCTTTAATCCCAGCACTTGGGAGACAGAGGCAGGTGGATCTCTGTGAGCCAGCCTGGTCTACAAAGGGAGTTCCAGGCGACCTGGGGCTACAGGGAGACCCTATCTCAGAAAAACAACAAATTAAAAAATGAAAAAAGATTATTATA